GTCCCTTGTTTCTCCTGCTTTATCTTGCTTCTTTGTGTGGACTGTGATTCTCTGTTGTCTTTGAGGCATTGTGATGTTTTTGTGTTTATATTTAATTGGTGATTATATGTTGGAGTGACTTGCCCAAAATTTTCGTTTTGTTTGTATGTTACCTAGACAGGCAAGATACTGTGCTGTGCTCCTCTATTCACTAGTTGACCACACTTATACACTCACCACCTGTCTCCTTTCCTGTTGTCAGCCTCTCGTATATCCTTGCTGACCCTGGCAAACAGAGCCCATTCTTATGTCCCTGGAATCTGAATGAGAATCAGTTTGGTGCTTTTTATCATTGTTTTCTTGCTATTCTTTGTAGTTTTATAACCCATAATAACCCTAAACAATAACTTTTAATTTTGCCTGTTTTGACTTTTACTTAGATGGACTCATATAAAAAGTATTCTTATTAGACTTGGTTCTTTTAGTCAACATTGTAGTTGTGAGATTCAGCCATATTGTCTCATGTTAACACTATTTAATTTTCATGGTTGTATACTTTTCCATAAGGAGTAATGTAGTGGTTAAAGCATTTGGCTGCTCCATGGAAGAAAGATGAGGCAGTTTGCTTCTGTAAAAATTTACAGCCTAGGAAATACAATAGAGGTCACTATGAGTCAGAATTGACTCAATGGCAGTGAGTTTGGTTTTGGTTTGAGATACTGTTCTGCTGTATGAATTTACCATAATTTATTTACTTATTCTCCTAATTGACATTTGGTTTATTTCCAATTAGGGCTATTACAAATATGGACATTTTTCTACATGACTCAGATATACATACAAGAGGATCTCTAGGGAGTATACCATTATATGCAAATACAAGTGTTCCCCTTTTAAAGAATGTCCACTTGTTTTCCAGAAGCAATTTCTGAAAGTTCCTATTAAACCATAACCTTGCCATCACATCAGGCATTTTCTGTCTCCTTATTTCTCCGCTCTTGAACTGCAAGAGCCTTGCTTGCAAAGCTTAGGAATTTAGTGAGCAGTGGGAAGGCATCTGAAAATTTTAACAGGAGTGGCATGGTTGGATTTGGGTTCTAGAAAAACAACTTAGATGATAATATGGAGAATAATCTGAAGAAATAAAGAACTGAACTAAGAAAATGATGGTAGGATAGGAATTAGAACTTGAAGTCCAGAGACTACTAAGAATTGAACACTGTATTAGGTGCTTTACATGCATTATGCCATCTTAAAGAAAAGGAAATTGAAGCTTAGAGAAATGACTTACGTAGTAAGGTCACAACTACTGTGGTAATACCAGGACTTGAACTCTTACATATTTGACTAAAACCCATGCTTTAAAACAGTATAGTAGATTCATGATACTGTCCTTTTACTATTTGTCAAAAATGTTACAAACATTAGTACTCTGTCCTTGTACATGTCATTTTCTTTGCTTAAATTCTCTTTGCTTTCTTCTTTGCCAGGCAGACATCTTGAAATTCAAAACTCAAGTTTCATGGTTATCACACCTTTCTGTGAATCTATGAATATATCTTCTATAGCTCTTAAAACATTGTATTATAATTTTTTTTCAGGAACGAATAGGAACTTTATTTTTATTAAATTCCCAAGTATTTTTTAAAATTCTTAGATATTAAATGGTGCAGTACATTATGCTCTAAGGTATTACTAAGGGGAATCATTCTATATCCCTATAAAAAAATAACTCAGAATCTAGTGAATTTGGCATTTTTGTTTCTTTTTGTAGGTGTGTGGTGGTAGTGATATTTCACTATTAGCTTTTAAACAGCTGGTGTTTGCATGTTTTCCTCACTTTAGTTGAATCTATTTTTCAGAAAAATCTGTTTCTTTTTCTTAAATGAATTTTGTAATGCCAGCTGGAAATAAATCATAGCAGCAAAACTAAAATTAAACAAATATGAGCTTCATGGGTTTTTTTTCTATTTATTTATTTATTTTATTTATTGTGATTTGGGTGAAGATTTACAGAGCAAATTCACTTTCCATACAGCAGTTCACATATACTTTGTCTCATGTCATTGACCACAGTTTACCACAATGTAACAGCTCCCCTCCCACTTTCTCCCCATAGTTACCTCCTCCCAGTGACCATCGGTCCATACTCTCCTGTGCCCTGAGCTGTCTCCCTGTGCATAAGCAGCCCTTCCTTCTCCCATGTTTGTTCTCGCCAGGGCGTGTGTCTACTTGAGGTAAATGTTTAACTTACGTGCCTGTACATTGTTTGGCTGGCAACCACAG